ACACACACAAACACACACCTCCTTATGGAGTTCCCCGCCTACCAAGCTGCTGAGGCCTCTATTTATAAACAGAAACCTTTGGTAGTACTGGGAGTGACAGACACAGACAGACACACACACACACCATCAGATCTGACCTATGATAAACTCTGCTGAGCTGAAATGTTACAAAGTGCAGTGTCACCATTTCCTGTCATTCCCTTATTATTACTTCCCATCTCGCACATTTAGTCCTCATCTCCTGTCCGCCCACGTCATGCACTTGACTCTGCTCTCTGTCTTTCTGTCTTACCTGGACTTGAGCACCTCATTCATCTTCTGCTCCAGGTCTATCCTCTTGCTTCGCTCTCTCTCCAGCTCCTGCCGCAGAGAGTCCACATTGGTCTCTTCCCGCAGCTTCCTCAGCTCCTCCTCTGGAAAACACAACACAAGCGCAGGAAATCAGCATCTCAAATGCTGATATGAAAACAACGCAACCCCAAGAGCTCCACACACACACATTCAGGGTCATGAAAAAGGCATCTGATAAGTATTCAAGACAGTAATTCAAGCTTTATGTGGAACATTTCATCCGGCAGATACCATCTAATTTGGGGGAAAACAAAATTCTCTAAAACATACAATCTAATCTAAAAATAATATAATTAAACTATGGAAGTGGAAACAAATGAAGTCATAAAAGTAAAGAGATTTTTGAAAAAACAGCCACTACTTTTGTTTCACTACTTTCTGGTTTCATCCCTCCTTCACCTCCCTCTTCCTCCGTCAATCAGCTTTTGGCATTAAGTGGTTTCAGGTATCGGCCTTTCTAAGCCTGGGGTGCAACATCAGCGGTGTTTCCTCTCAGTCTATTGTCCCTGACTAAAGAGACACATGAATATTGGAGGAGAGGAGGCAATAATAAGTGTGTACATGTGCAGAGGCAAAAATAAATGAATAATGCGTACATTTATGTACACAAAGAAAACAGGGAAAAGCACAGAATACATTTTTAAAAACACAGAAATAAATCCACATATACAGAAACAGAGGAACTTTTCAATGGCTAGCAAGGCTTTTCCTTAAAAAATGGAAACTTTGTGAATCTGCTGTGGCACAGCTTTAATTGTATACAACATCAAACTGAGGATTTATAGGAAATTGTGCAGTATAACAACACTATACGGTGTTGACAACAGAAGTACAAGCTGTGCCACTAGCACTAAGATCAATATCTCTCCATCAACACAAGAAACATTGCCTGAACCAGTGGGACCCGAAGGGAACGTGAAGAAAGTGATAAAAGCAGGGTCATGCACCCCATGCAAAGGCAAGTGTATATCACCTGCCCCTCCCTGATCATTTCATCACACAGGCAGTAGGGGATTCATATTACAAGAATTCAGCTGCCAGTTTTCTCTTTCTCATCACCTAATCTCATATCTCACTCGTCCTTTATCTCTTCCCATTAACGCTAATAAAACATTTATTGCAAGCATCTCCTGCATCTAACAAATCGGCGACAACACTCTGCAGTCTTACTGCGAGGACATACAGTGTATCTCCAGATCCCACATACAGTAATCTACTTGCTTAGAATAATCTTCTTCTGCATTTCTGCTTTAGTAAGAGCAGTAAGGCAGATTTTGATTTTTCAATGCAAAGTAGGATTCTTTCCTCTTTCTTCATCTATGTCATATGACTTCCCCTACACTTTCACCTCTCCGCTGACTCAGTTTGCCTGTGTCCCTTTCTGCTAACATAAAAATGTGTTTATGGAAACAAGACAGACTGTGTGTGTGTGCGTCTGTGTGTGCGTAAAAGTAAGCAAAAGGCCAGCCAAAGGTTGCTATGGGCTAAGCAGCTTAGCACTGGCTAGGTTCCCCTGTGCCCAGAGATACACAGCCAACTGTAAACCTATTAGACAAATGGCTAACAGAAGCAGCATTGCACCCTGGGTGGTGTAGGCAGAGCTAGATCAGTGGTTTACGCTGTACTGAACGTTACATTTAACAGCAATAGCAGGGGCCCATGGCAATCTCAATAGGAAGAAATAGCTTATAAATGATTTAATACTTTGTCCTGTCAGTCAAACAAACTGGTTGAAAATGAAAGCAAAGAGTGACAATACACTGTCAGCGATACTCAAGATTCATTTGGAGTCGCATTTCCAACCACCTGATGTATGCAATTCCAGCTGCTGGCTAAGACTGCGTGGAGGGGGTTGATGAAGGTGGTAAGACTCAACCAAAACAGTTGCAGGACAATAAACCAAAACAATGAGCAGAAACATGCTAAAAGCTGACACAAACTGCAGTCAGGCGATGATTCTCTGTAGGGTTTGCCACTACGAGTGACCCCTTTCACATCACAACACATCACATGATTTCTACTATTCTAAATATAACAATATTGATTAGCGCTGCTTTAAGTTACTTCAATTTGTGGTTGTCGGAAACACCGAAATGAAAAGATTGATCACCCAAAGAACGGAGCCCTATAGTCAGACAGTTATAACTTCATAACACCACGATGAATAACACACAACATATACTGTATTTACTATACACATATGATGCTGTCACTCATTTACCGTTGTCCATACCCTCCCTGATCCTGTTCACCTTTTACCCTCTTTATCATCACCACACTGTCGCTCCCTTCCTCCCCCCCCCGCAAATTTCCTGCCCCTTTACTATACATTACTCCTTCCCTTTACCTTGTGGAATTTCTGTGTGTATACAAAGCTCTACACCCTTTTCCTCTCCGTGGTTTCCTTCCTTCCACACTGACCACTTCCTTCTTAACACTAGAAACAGAGATGCCTCATTCCGTGAGTCCATAATACTGTGTTAGATGTGGTGGGGCTGCATGCATGAGATACAGCACAGCATGGTACAATATGCTATGTGTGTCAGACACAGACAGATAGAGTACAATCGTTTTCTGTTCCACAGAGGCCCTCTACATCAGATAGCATATTAATAATACTGTCAACACGCCTGTTCTGCTTCTAAAACTGGATTGCTGTCTTCTATATATAAATCTTCATCCTGGGTTACCATATCACAGGGTCTCTTTGGCCACTATGAAGGTAGTAACTAGACCATTTATCAGCGACGGGATTAGCTAAATGCCATGCCAGGAGATGTCACTTTTAATAGCGTTGACCTTCTCTTCCATGCAGGGTTGCCATGAAACTCTAATCTCTTTAAAAAAAAAAAAAAAAACAGGAAAAAAAACCTAAGAACACACATTATATTATCTGCTAATAAAGGTTGGAAAGCAGCAGGAAATACTAGTGATGTTGTGAGACAGTAATTACGATCAGGAGGATGCAACTGAGGCCAAGTGGAGCTAATGTTTAGTCTAGTTTGGGTAATACAATACATTCAGTATCAGGTAAGGTTAAAGTCACAAGATGAAGATGGTCAAGTTGTAGTTACCCTCTAATGAGGTTAAAGGTGAGCAAAATATTCTGAAATGTGTTAACATTGCCATGGGTTGAAGTCCTTTTTGTCTGAGTACATTTGGACAAAATGGATGAAAAAAAAACTTACTGTAAGTTCTAGTCAATTGGATGGTTTGAAAAACTTGCCGAGTAAACAAAAACACAATTGGGAAATGTTGTGGAGCCTTGGTGCAGCTCAGGTGGCATCAGCAAGACTCAAGTGTCATATGACAGACTTCCTTTATATCACATGGCTCAATCATTTTTAAAATCAACACTGTGACCCAGAATTGAGGAAGTCACATTAGTTCAAATTAAGACCTGTACTTTGCTAACTAACATTGTATGCTTTCATCCATATTTCGCTGAAATCAGCAGGCAGATCCAGACTCCACCTCAAGGCACCTTGCACCGGTTTCAACATTCAGCCGAGGGGACTGCTGTTTGTGATTCACCTCTGATGACGAGCTGCTGTTTTTAGTTGGCCAGAGAGGAGTTTGGGTTTACAAATGAGGTTGACTTGGGTTAACGTACCAAGGTTGACCATATTTGTGTTGACAAATATTTATCTCACTATGGTAGAGGTTATCTAGCAAATGGAGACTAACAACTGATTGACATCATGAGTTTTATCAGGTGACAGATACAACAAAGATGAGGCTATCAAATTCCTTGTTATTGATTTTGTCCATCTTGCCAGGGTTGAACAATAAAAAACAGAAGTTTACACTACCACCTCTGTATACTCTGTACAATACAGTACAGTGTGGTTGCTAATCAAGGCTGGCTAATGTACAGAGGCCTTAGTTATCTTATTCAAGTTTACAGCACAATTTAAATAGGTTCAACTTGCCCATACATTCCTGACTTTGAAGCTGACAAACTTACTGAGGTTGAGGTTACTTTTGTGGCTTTTGATCTTATCGATAGCTCCACTGTAAAGCAGCTCAAAGCTGTCAAAGGTGCAGTCCTCCAGCTTGCAAAAACCCATCCGTCTCTGCAGTCGGCCTGTCCCTGGCAAACTCGTGCAGGAGCGGGGCGGCAGAGTGGCCGCCTTGGTTCTATCTTGAAATTGAGCCACGGTTACAGGTTATCCCGGTCCAATCCAGCTTGTTTAGCACCCTTTGCTACCTAATGACATAAAAAAACTTCTCAAATCCCATCAAACTTCAGGCTCCATCTTTACATGTCTCATCCCGAGACAAAGCAGCGGTCAGGGACTGGTTCCTCTGTGCTAATCTGTCACTAGTAACACAATGAGACTGTTCTGCTAGTCCTCCACAAACTGAGAGTGATGGTCAGTGGTCAGAGCTGGTCTGAGAGTGTTAGGCACTTGGTAAAAAGAGAAGGAGGGCAGTGGAGGTAAAAAGAGGTGGGGCTTTGCTGGGTGGCCAGCAGACTAAGAGGGCCTGGAATCTGAGATTTCTGAGCACACTGGAGCTGTCAGAAACACACACATTATGCATGTTCATGTGTCAGTATGAGTTTACTGGAGTGGCTGTGTACATATTTGTGATCCATGTGTTATGTGTTGTTGTTTGTGCATGTTCACATTTGTGAACTTGTGTGTAAGGATACGTGCATGAGTACTGTACATACGCAACCGAAGCAAATCGCTTTTCATCTAAGCAGGCAAAGTTTTTAAGACCTCAAAGGAAAAGTACTGTGTGAGTTTTTCTATCCAGGTCAGAGACAATGGCTCCTTTCATTAAAGGAAGGTGGGGGCACAGGGGGTTCAGAAAGAGAGAGACAGAGAGAGAGGGAGAATCGGCTGCTTCACATTGGCCTCTCATTGTTCCCCATTCTCTACAGTGTTTGCCACAACACTGGTTGACTTGAGCATAAAGGAAACTTGGGCTTTGTGGCCTCCAGCTGATCTGCAGGTGTTAATACACAATTCATGACACTGACTGAGGAAAAAAGAGAAAGGGAAGACAGGGCAAAGAAAACAATATAACCCTGAACAAGTTGTGAGTTTGAGAAACACCAAAATGTAATTGGCAGTGGAATTTCTTCAGTATAATAAAGACATCAACATCATCTTTTCATCATCAGTCATCATCATCATCTTCAAAGAGTACTTTTCCATCATATAATTATTACACTGTACTTCAGGTTGTACTTTGAGTGAACAACGCAAGTACTGTATTTTGTCTTCCTTTTGTCTTTATTAATCTCTCTTTTTAAACTGTCCCTTCCTCTCTGTGGCCTCCTTCCACTCTGGCCCTGATATCTGTGTGTGACCTACATTTCACTCATTTGTTTCACTTTTCCCCCCCTCTACAACACGGAGTTGACTTCATGGCTAAATCTCTTTACAGTCCTCTTTGCAACATCCAAACAACACCACTCCTTTTTTGTGCCATACTGTCTTTGCTGACAGCTGGTTCACATGGCACAGAGCCAGACTCCTTCACAGGAGATGTTACAGGAGTAGTTAGTCTTCTCTCTCTGTGGAGGTCTATGTTACGGTGTGTGTCGAGAAAGAAATACATGCAATAAATAACCAAGATAAACAATGTTCCGTAATCCAATGTTGTGTCAGCAGGGAGGATAGCATCTGCTTGTTTGGAGAACAGTAATGTCATTAAAGACCTCATGGCATCATAGATATCTGGTCAAGACTGCAGTCTCCTGTCAGTAATGGGAACCAAGTGCTTTCAGGGAAGAGGCAAGGAAAACAGATTACATTTCCACAGTTCAACGCTGTGCAAATGTGCTAGAAAAACATATGGAATCGACTGGATATAAGAAGGGCCTTACATTCTCTGTTATAGATCATGTCAGTCAATAAGCTACTACTTTTATCCAATGAAACATACGTACAGTCTTGCTCAAGCGTAGCCGGTAGAACACATACAGCATGTCGTGGCCTTGCTGCCTGGTCAAAAGGCTGAGACTGTGAATTTAGACTCTCTACCCACATGGCCACCTGTTGCATTCTCACGCGCTCGGCTACAGCTCCTGGATGATGACTAAACACTACTGTATCTAAACACATGAGGGTACAGCTAATTTAAAATGTAAGAACTGGGAATTAGACAAGAGTACAGTAAGAGGAAGTAATGTGTGTAGAGGTTACATGAATTACATTTTGACATTCTCCTTCACAAACTTTAACATCCCAATTACAGAGACCTCTGCTTCTGAGCTGTCATTCTGCCTCAACAACCCAATTTCCTTTTGTATGGAGCTCACCTGTGACAGACAAGACTGTCTCCTTAGCAGGCACCGAGCAAGGTTTATTCATTATCATGCAGCATGTCCTGTAGCTGTCTCGGAAGAAGAATGAATCATCATCAGAGTGTTTGTAATCAGCAATGAGGCAGAGTCCTCGAGAACAATCAATCACTTGCATAATTATCTCCAAGAATACAAAACTAAGACTTTTCAATTACTTTCATTTTTCTGTTGTATACCAACTCTCCAGACACTAAAAAGGCACACAATATGCCTATCAATTACTTAAATCAATTCCTTATATATTTTACTTCTAAATGAATGCCTTAGTAAGTTTTCTTTCTTCTGTTTTGTCAGAAGACAAACTACAGCACTATACTGCACTGTCATCCTAATCTATCTTATGTAAGGACTCAAAAAGCACAGCTATTAGCAACTCCTGACAATGCTGCTGGGTAGCACGGTGGCTCAGTGGTTAGCGCTGTCCTTACGCCAACAACGTGCTGGGTTCGATTCTCTGCTGGGGCAGGGCCTTCCTGTGTGGAGTTTGCATGTTCTCCCCATGTTTGTGTGGGTTTCCTCCAATTTCTCCAGTCAGTGCCCTTGACCAAAGCACTGGCTTGGATTCAGAGATGGTCCCCGGACACTGTACAGTGGCTGCCCACTGCTCCACTCCACTATACGTTATACTGTGTTGTTGTGTTGATCCTATTTCAATTCTATTATTAAAAGATATTTCCAGGGCTGCAACAATTCATTTTAACAGCAGAAACATTTTTTGCACTCTAAAGTATTTTTAGGTCCAGTGTGTAACATTTAAGAGGATCTATTGGTGGAATTGGAATATAATATGCATAATTTTGTTTTCATTTGTGTATAATCACCTGAAAAATGGAATAGCTTTTCTTAATTGTTGGCATAACTACTGTTTTTGTTTGGTTTGTGTAACAACTGTTTCCAAGCTCAAGAATGAACATTTAAGCTCAAATTTAGAGCTATAGTTACGTCAACAAGACAATTCTACAGCAACAGCTTGATTTTTAGCTAGGTTGTTCATAATTCCAGTAGCAACAAGGCCCTGCACGCCCACACAGGTGTTTTCAATTATTCTGGTTAATTGTTCTTTTTTCACAGAAGACATTTTGACATGTCGCAGTAGGAAAGGCACTGATGTAAATACTAGAATAATGACGGCTGATTTCCATTATTTGGTTTCAGGGTCCAGGTACTGTGCATGCTTGCTCACAGCTTACTGGGACACTTGTATAGAACTGAGCCACTGTGTGCTTTTCCTGCTATGACAGAACAAAATCTGAAATGGGCTATGTAGGGAATAATGGGACATTACCTAACTCGATGTACTAATGAAAATGATGACCGTGGTTGTACATTGTCCCGCCTTAACAGGTGCAACAAAACTAAGATCAGAGTCACAGAGCTGTCGATCAAGGACAGCGCGCGCGCACACACACACACACACACACACACGAAGATCTAATCAGGCAACGTAAGTGAAGACACTATGTGGGTGGGCTACGGCTGTTTAGAACTGAAACTATATCTGGTTCTTTATATCCATTACCTCTTAATATGTGTCAGTGGGAGTTAAGATACTTCGTAATGTCGGTCTGATATACGCAACTGGCATGTACTTGTTATTCCAGGTGGTTTCACAGTACCGGGGGTACTGGATGGTATTGTGACGAACACATTTCACTACAGACCAAATGCAATTAATCTCTCATTCTACAAGCTTTTAGTTATGCTGCTGCTGCTGCTGCATTGGGCATGCTTGTGTGTAGCCTTTATGTGTGTGTGTTCCTCTGCCCAGTGTGAAGTAGGACAGCAGCTAGGACACTGTATT